GGGGCATGGGATTGTGCATATTTATAGAGACACATGCAAGTTTGTGTCCGCAAAGAGGGTCTTCGAAAATAGGCCCTTAAAAATGGGAGGGTAATATTATTTTTTTTGGATTCTGTAGATAGCCATAGAGGGGGGCCCAAATAAAGAAAAGAAAGAAGAGATCCATAGAAATTTGTGGTGTCACATCTTTTGTGCTTGGAATGCGTCCATACCAAGTTTTACTCACAATAACAGGGTAGATGTATTTTGAGAACATTATTGGGTGTCTTTAGTAATATGTCTTTTGTTTTTCCTTCAGTTGTGTCTGTTGTTCCTCATGATTTAGTTGGCCTCCTTTCTTCTAGGCGTCTATATGCTATTGTTTAAACCTGTCTTCTGGTCCTAATCCCCTTTGTTCACTGAAAAAACTGAAAAAGAAAATCACCATACTCTAGTATTTGGTGTCACACACTATTCGTTTCTAATTTAGCCATATTCTTTTTTATAAGAATTCACACATGTTTTTTTTTCTTATGAACAAACTCATGTTATAATGTGCGTTTATTTGTTAATATTATACCATTGGATGCAAAGGACTTGTAACTCAAATAGCTAAGAGTATTTACTATACATTTGAGGTCCTAAGTTCGATTCCACCCTCCCTCAATATGGCGTGTATAAGAAAATTTATGTCACAAGACATAAATTTGTCGTCCACTTACATCAATTTCTAATGTTACAGTGACAAAAAAAAAAACTTTCTTCAATTATTTATAATCTTAGTGGTTTTGAACTGTTACTCTCTCTTTTTTTTTCTCTCTCTTTCTTCCTTTTAGAAATATCGGCTCCAAAATCTCTACCCTCATCAGAGCTATTGCACACCTATAAAATTTGTAGCTATCTAATGAGTCAAAAAATCATAAGCACAACCATACATAATTCAAATCAACGCACCATATATATATATATATATATGTATATTCTCTTTCATTTTTATCAACCAAAACACATTAAATTAATTATTTTGAGATGTAACTTTCTTCAATATGACACTCAACAATTATACATACACAATCTAGTAAGGACGCTCTCCTATATAATTTCCAGGCGGGTAATAACTACAAATCACAAACATCCAGCCATTCTTGCACTTAGCCCTAGCACAACCCACATGAGTCGAATTGCGCCAAACCACCTGAGTGTAGTGCCCACAAACATCACCAACGCATGTGTTGGAGGCATAGTCGTAGTTGGGCTTCTCAGTCACCCAAAACTTCACAGCCTGCCCGCCGGTCATTTCTCCATAGCCTTCAGCCAAGTTCTCACCATATGGCCCCTGTGAGTGCACCATTTCACACGTCTCAATCTTCGAATCCGCATACTTCTGGGCGTAGGCTGCAACGGTGTCGTTCCATTTGATTGGACCAACACCAACCTCAGCTCGAGCTCTGTTGTGTTCATCTATGAAGTCCTGGTGGTGGGGTTCTTTGTTGGGTCTGGCCTGAGAGACATGGGTGCTTAAGATTAGGGCTATGGAGAATATGCCAAATAAAAGCTTATTGATAACTCCCATTTGTATCTCTTTGCAAGGCTTGGATCGATGTATTAGAGGTTGATATTAGGGCAAATTTATAGAGAGATAAGGCAATTTGGACATTAAAGAAGAAGATCTCAGATTAATTGCTGTCTGTCACATTCCTTGGATTTCGTCAGAAAATAAAGAAATAAAAACAATTACATGCCCATTTTTGGGAATTCTTGGGTTTGATTTGTATCCGTTTGCCAAAGGTGTCACACATTTGGAGATGGCAGTATAAATGCAAATTAATGGTTGTGTTGTTAAAAAATTTCACGGAAGGATAAGTTTCTAATCGAAGATATTACTGAAAGGTGAATAAAGACTATGGCGCTACTCTTTTCTAGTAGAAAATTTTGATATATTTCTATAAAATGTGGTCTCGTTTCAAAGAAAAAAAAAAGTAGATTTCTTTCCAAATGTAAGAAATTTTTTTAAATTTTTTTTACTTCAAGATTTTTAAAAAAAAACTCTCGTTCATGAAATTTGAATCAGGAAGTCTTAAACAAGTAAAAATTATGCAAGTGATTCTCTAAATTAATTTACTTTACGAAAAAGAAACATTATCAAGGAAGGTGACGAGGACACATTACCACGGAATGAGCATACAATGAGTTAAAAGTACTCATAAACTTTCTTAGCGCTGAATTTTTTTAATTTTTCTCAATAGAGAACAATACATTCTTTAAGAGTAAAAACGAACATCAGAGCTAGAAAGGGTGATCACATCAATAGTACATTTGTCCACCACATGATGTTTTACAAAAGAGAGACCCCACCTTCATGTGAACTCCAGCCAATCATTATTTAGTCCAAAATACTACTTTAATATCAACCAGCAACATCCAATCTGTTCCAAGTTCCAGTCCACCATCTCAACTTCATCAGCTTGATCAAATGCCCACCAATTCTATTAGGGACGCTCGCCCTCATAGTTACCAGGAGGATTGTAGCTGCAAATGACAAAAACCCAATTGTTGTCACACTTTGCCCTAGCACAACCAAGATGAACCGAGTTCCGCCAAACCACCTGAGTATAATGCCCACATTCATCCCCAACACATTTGTTGGACCCGTAGTTAGCAGTTGGATTTTTTCTTTCTTAGAGCACTTTCACCTATTTATCATGGCAAAAGTCTAGGGGAGACAAGGGCAATTACTCTTCACGTAAATAGTTTCTGCTATTGCAATTTTTTTGTTGCTTTTCCACCCATTGCCATGGCAATCGAAAAACAATTACTATTCACATGAGATTAATTTAATTTATATGTATGAGATTAATAATAATAAAAATTGCTAGGTATGTATAAAAAATATATACATTCTTAATTTTTTGTAATTTTTCAGAATTTTTTTCAATTTTTTTCGTCACTGACGTCACAGCTCTCAGGCAACAGCTCGGGTTATTCTTGCCTACAGGGCTTGGTTGAGTATACGCCTTGCTTGGGTTGTTTTGTACCCCTTGAGGAGCATTTCTTGGCATGGGCAACCTTTTGTCAGGGCTGGACTTAGCGCTGGAAGTGCTCTTACTCTTTTTTTAAAATTCTCCTTTTTATAAATTTTATTTGAAATAATAGTGGGCTACGGTATTTTAGGAATAATGCTGGGTGAAAAGATAAGATTGTGTTTTATTAAAGTTACATGGTGGGAGGGAAGATAAGGTGGGTAGGAAAATAGTGTCAAAATGTGAAGGTAAAAAGTCTCACATTGGAAAGTTAGAAAACTTTGCAATGGCTTATAAGGAGTTGGGTTACTGTCCTCATTTCCAATTAGTATTGGGGTGGAACCTCAACTTTCTTCATGGCATCAGAGCAGGTTGCCCACGTGTGAAAGCCCAATGGCCACACGTGCTTCATGTCACCCAAAATATGTTGTCCACGTGTTAACCTTGAAAATTCGTCACACGAGTGGGGACATCTGAGAATGTGAAGGTAAAAGTCCCACATTGGAAAGTTAGAAAACCTTGCAAGGGTTTATAAGGATCTGGGTTACTCCTCCCCTTGCCAATTAGTTTTAGGGTGAAATCTCAACTTCCTTCAAATAAGACAGGAGGGTGGAAATTGCAGCACTCAAAAGAAAATTTGTACGATTATTTAGCCTTAAGTTTCTTACCAAAGTACGTAATGGATAATTAGTCCTTTATTAAAATTTTGGATAAACCAATTAGATTTTTGTCTAGTTGTATTTTTCTTTCCAATGTAAGAAGCCTCAAATTTGAATCTTTCCTCACTTAAGATGAAAAAATAAACATAGACATAATTGGTGAAATATAATTACAACAATGAAAAAACATTCAAGTTTTCAAAATCTATAATGACATAAGCAATCCAAGTTCCTACCTTTAATTACTGCAACCGCAATCTTGTCCAAGGGTTTTAATCCAAAAATGAAAGAATGAGGTAATGAGATAATATTTCAGAAAGAGAGAGATTGACCAAAAAAACATAAAGAGAATGAGATAATATTTCGGTTAGATTTTACAAAACTGAAATTATATTATTCTTTTCCTCTTTTTTTTTTTTTTTTTTTTTTTTTTTTTTCTTTTTAAGGCCTGGAAACAGTGCATTTTGCCCTAGATGTTTTAAAAAAAATTATGCGGATCATTACACAACTTGGAGGCAATTCATCGAACACCTAAAATGCACCACCCATCCTCAGCAGATGGGCAATATGCAGCGACTACAAAGGCTTTTCCAACAAAAGCCTTGGGCTTTAATAGGTCAGCCAATGGTGACAGCGTCGACAGTATTTGGACAATCATGGTGGTTGTTTGCTGGGTAACTCAGGTTAGGGGGGCAGGGAGGTGAGGAGGTGAATAAAAGTAACCATTAAATCATATAAACCAAGCTAGTTCATAGCTCCATAAACTAATTTTCAATAAGTTTTAACATGAACCAAATAAGGTTTAACACCATAGTGGATTGAACATCTAAGGTTTTTTACCTAGATTGACCTTAGGTTCCTTCATGCATTCATATCATACATGAAAAGTTGTTTTATGTAAAAATATTGACTAAATCATTTCCTTAAGATAATTTTTGGCGGCTTTTATTCCTCACACATCAAATAAGAAAACTTGATTTTATGGGATTTTGGTACGAAGTATATATTGATCTAATGAGCCATAATTTTTAGCCTAAATCGTATTTTGCACTGAAACCAATTTTTCATATTTTGATTTGGTGGGAATTTGATTTTCTAGTATTTTTATTTAAATCCAAATGGGGGTACTTCTTTATTTACATTGTAAACTTCATTACTATTCACGTGAATAGTGGCTGCCCTAGCCCCCCAAGTAAAGTGTGTTTAAGGCAAAAGGGGGGGGGTGCTCTTCAAGGCTTTTAAGGCTACTAAAAAAATCAATTA